TGTCTCTTGGTGTCTCTCTTTCTCTCAGGAGTGCCTGTCTCTCAATGTCTTTCTCAGCAGTGCTTGTCTCTCCCGTCTCTCTCTCAGCAATGTGTGTCTCTCACGTCCCTCAGTCGGCAGTGAGAGATTTTTTTCTGCCTCCAGGAGGGCTCCTTCTGAGCCTGGCAGAGTAGCCAAACTAACGAATCCCAACATCAGAATTCTATACACCTGAGAGAGAGCGAACTTCCCAGAAAATTACTTTGTGCTGCTCCCCACAGAAATAATCCAGGTGGATAACTTTAACAATCAGGAGGTACTCAGTTGCTCACAGCAAATTCCACCACAGAGTTCACAAAGACTGTGACTAGAAAAGCCATACTATGAATTTACTGCACTGCAGTAGTGAAGACTGCTATTGACACAACTAAGGACTCATTAAGAAAAATCTTACTACTAAAAAGGAATAGGAGTCCCTGGGTAGTGTAAATGGTTAAAGTGCTTGGGTGCTAACTAAAAGTTTGGCACTTGAAGTCTATCCCAATGCAGCTCGAAAGAAATGCCTAGTGATTATTTCTGCAAAAAAAAAAAAACAAAAAAAAAACCCATCAACCATTAAAAACCTCATGGACACAATTATACTCTGACACACATGGGATCACTATGGTGAATCAAATGGATGGCAACTGCAACTGGGAAAAGAAATATATTAGTTATTCTAAACCCCAAAGGCTGTTGCTGATGTAACCTCTGCTTTCAAGTAGCAGTGCAATACTCAAAAGTAGTATTCACACTTTAGGTATTATCAGTTATTATTAACTAGCACTAGCAAATATCAGTGACTACATAAGCAGAAATGGATGTACCTTTGTTCTTTTATTTTGCTTTTTAAATAACATTTTATTGTAGTTTATGTAAAAGTTTGTATAGCAAGTTAGGTTTCCCTTTAACAATTTTTATACAAATTGTTCCATATTGTTTATTTCATAAGCCAATCTATTATTTGGCTGAAAGGTGACCTGCAGAAATAGATTCAATTCCAAGTTGAGAGGGAATCATAGGGCAATAATCTCAGAGATTCCTCTACAGTCTATTCACCCAATTTTTTTTTTTTCCAGGAATTTGAGTTTTGTTCTACGTTTTTCTTCAATTCTATCCAGGAACTTCTGTTGTATCATAGATCAGAACAGTTGGTAGTAGTAGACAGGCACCATCTAGTTCTTCTGGTCTCAGGTTTAAAGATGATGTGGTTCTTGTGGGCTAATTTTTCTTTGAGCCTTCAACTTCCTTCATTCTCTTTTGCTCCATATGAGTAGAGACCAACATTTGTATCTCAGATGGCTGCTTTTAAGACCCCAGATGCCACTCAACAATCTAAGAACATTATCTTTGTTATGTTATGTTAATTGACTAAGTTGTCCTTTGAGACTATGTTCCCAAGCTCTTAGACCTAAACCTGTCCCACAAGTTGTTTGGGTAAGTCTAGGAAGCCTCTATAACTGTGCCCCATATGTGGTTTGTTATGTATGTGGATACATATGACTATAGATGTTGTTGTTGTTGTTATGTGCCGTCGAGTCAGACCCGACTCATAGTGACCCCTGCTTGGGTTTCCCAGGCAGTATCACTACGGAAGTAGATTGCCCCATCTTCCTTCCGAGGAGTGGCTGGTGGATTTGAACCACCAGCCTTCTGGTTAACAGTCAAGTGCCTTAACCACTATGCTACCAGACTACAGATACACCTATACGTATTCTCATATGTCTTCCTATATACATATTTGCATCCATACCACCTATGTAATTACATGCAAATTTTTTGGTTATTTTTAATACTGTTGCAAAATTACATATGTGATAGCATTTACTAGTATTGTCTCTTTTCATCATGTACTTTTTGATTATTTATTTAACTTGATCACGTTGTGCTTAATTCACCTATATTTGGGTTTGTCTTTCCCATTATCAAAAGTAACAAGTATCTACTATCTAGAAAGTGATTTCTCCTCCCCTGCCCCTCCCATTTCTGGTAACCATGAAAAAAAATATTGCTTTTTTGTGTATTTATCGATTTTTGACCTTTTATAATAGTGCTACAATACAATATTTGTCTTTTTGTGATTTCTTTCACTCAGCATAATATCCTCCAGATTCATCCATGTTATAAGGTGTTTTGCAGACTCCTCATTATATTTTTTAGTTGAACATTGTTCTATTTTATGTGTGTACTACAATTTATTTATTCATTCATCCATTGATAGGCACTTAGGTGGTTTCCATTTTTGCTATTTGCATAATGCTGCAATTGACATAGTTGTACATATTCTATTAATGGTACCATTCTTAGATCTCTAGGATATACATTTAGCAATGAGATCATAAGGTATGTCTATTTATTGCTTTTTGAGGAAGTGCCATACTGATTTCCATAGTGGTTGTACCATTTTACAATCCCACTAATAGTGTATATATTCTTACTCACTCACTGCCATGGAGTCAGATCCAATGCATAGTGACCCCTCCTTGGGTTTCTGAGGTGGTATCACTATGGAAGTGGATTGCCCAACCTTCCTTCCGAGGAGTGGCTAGTGGGTTTGAACCACCAGCCTTCTGGTTAGCAGTCAAGTGTATATAAGTTTTGCATGAGTGGAGCTGCCCCAGCTGCAGGTTGCAATAAGCCAGCCCCAGGACCAGTGGAAGGCAGCCGTTTGCATGAGTGGAGCCACCCTGGCCGCAGACTGCAGTAAGCCGTGGTTTACTTAGGGCCATAGTCTCAGGTGGGAGTTTGCCTGGGGGCAGGCTGGGTGTGCAAGAAGATGGGGGAGACCAGGAAATGAGCAGAGCAATTTAGAACAGCTAGGGGAGACAAACTTGTTACCTGTGGTGGACAGGTTTCAGCTGACCTTCCAGACTAAGATAGACTCAGAAGAAGGAAGAGGCCATCCACTTCTCAAAGAATTGACCAGTGAAAACCTT